CAGAAATACTAGTTCCAGTGTTGGCAGTATGGGGAATGTTTTTGGTTAATTTTCTTTTAATGAGCTCACCTCAGGCTACTGGGACATGGCCTTCCAAGATAATTCACCTTAGCAGTGACCAACCCATGCCCAGCAGCAGAGCTGGTAGCTGTAGGAGTTTGGATGCAGGCTCACTCGATTGCTGTGGCAGTACTGTGCTTCCCACCCACCCTGAAACTGTTCTGGCACATCGTGGGTACCTGCCAGTCAGGTGATGAGTGAGGTGCCAGGCATTAAGTTATTTCCCTCCACCAGAAAGGAGCTGGATGGTCTGCGAAGCCAGCAGGGATGGTCAGGAGTGACAGGCACATTTCTACTAGCCATTGCTGGGAACCTAGGTATCTTACAAGGAGGTGTAAATGCAATAATAACAGGAAAAACCTGATCCCGTGCAAGAGATTGAAGTGACACCTTTGTAGGACTTGAAGAGGATCAGAAAAATTGCCTGTGCCCTCCCTCTCCAAAGGCAAGCTCTGTGAATACAGAATTTTGTAACCAGGCTTCTTAACAGTGTAATCAGCTTCTGCTGTAAGTGATTTTGGACACTCAAACCAGAATATGAATGTATTGAATACCAGTGATAATATTTAAAGATAGACCTTAGACATCCAGGTACAGGACTGAAATTTGAGAATTGTCCCATTTTACAAAATTCAGCCTTTATCAATATCTGGGCTATCCCTGAAAACCAGTGTGTTTATAAGTAACATATATGAGAATGAATGCTATCCTATCAACCCTGTAGCAATGCAGTAGGTGTTGTTTTATGCTTTTGACCTTTCTGTAATCAGGTGACATCCAGGAACTCTATGATACTAAGTTGGCTCCTGGACATGCTGCAGCTTTTTCAGATGATTGTGATCTGCCTTCTACACATGAAATGATTAGAAGTGTAGGGATGCAGGTAAGATGCCATTCTGGAATTCTAACAATTAATTTGTTTACCCATAAGTGTAAGAAGATTTCATGTGTGTTCCCCAAAGTTAAAGTTATATATATAGAGAGATATTTACTTTTATAATAGTTTTACTGGTAATTAAGAACTTTTTGGAGTAACTCCATAGTGCTATGCAGAATTGTTTCCTGTAATAATTTAAATATGTCTTGTTCTTTGGATTATACTAAATTATGTTTAGTATTTTGCTATCAGTAGATAGTGAGCATTTATAGAACATCTAATGAAGACAGAATGTATGATATTTGTATTAGTCACATTGGGAATGAAACCTAGGAAAACAATTTAAAGACTAATTCCTGGGCTGAGTTCCCCAGAATTGTCGGTGCATCCCTCTAGTATTACAGTGTGATGCTGCATATTTGGTGTGAGCTACTGAAAAACAAAGATGTGGTGAGGGAAGAGCCTTATCAAACTTCCACTGTACCATACTGTGGAAAAACTAATTTAGTATCTGGAAGTATCCTGCCTTTCAGCCTTGTGTCATGTGGAAATCACTACACATAACCACCATCTAGAAATTCAGCTTTGGGAGTGCCTGTTTAGTCTCCCTCTCAGTGATAGACAATGAATGTACACATCTTTAAAAAGATTCATAGGGGATAAACGTAGTTTTTTATTTCTTAGAACACGTACATGGGATTCCTGGACTACAGAAAGCAAGCCATCAGAGATCTTGGCATCAGCCCCAGCACCTGTTCCTTTAATCCTGGAGTAATTGTTGCTAACATGACTGAATGGAAACATCAGCGGATTACGAAGCAGTTGGAAAAGTGGATGCAAAGAAATGTAGAGTATGTGTAGAAATCTAGCTTTGCACTTTACTTTTCATACTTGGTTTACAGTTTTATTTTCTGTTTAAAAGCTCTTGAAAGTTTTTTTCAACTCCAGGTAGTCTTTCTTTTAACTCCTGTTTCAGCATTTCCATCTGTTTAAATATGACCAATTTTGTACCAGGAAATGACCAGCTGGAATTTTAGTGTTGTGTTTAATGACAAACCACACATAATCCTGAGGGACACTGAGAACATGTGGTTCTCATTTTGGGTGACCAACTTTACTTGGGATCAAGCCACTTAATGATCTTCCCTTCCTGAGGCTGGCTGAAAGAAGGAGGAATCTTTCCTTGTTTGTGTGGGGACTCTCCTATTGTAGCATCAGCCAAACTGTAATTGGACACCATCTTTTTTTTTTTTTTAATACCAGTAGAAAAGACTTCTTTTTCTCTAGTTGAAGGAAATTTGACATGAAAGATATCTTTATGTTATTGACCATGAATAAGTCATAACACAGTGAAACAAGCACCATTCGTTATTTACATTAGTTCCCTGTTAACCTGTATTTGAAAACTTGACTCTGCAAAGGATTGAATTTCAATTTAGTAAGGCTAAAGTGCCACTGAATGGTTTGTGCTGTTGGGCTGTGTCCATTACTTGTTAGTTTTAGAAATGAACAGAGGAGGGACACAAATGAGAAGTATGTGAATGACTGAGAAGCCGAATATTTTTCTCTTACTCTGCTTATGTAGCATATCCTGACAAGCTATTGCTGTGCTTTTAAAGAGATTTTAAGAGTGAGAACTCCATATTACTGCAAATTCGATCTATAAAGTTGATTTTGTGCCTTAATAACACATTCATGCTCCTTTTAGCTGGATTTTGAAATGGCAGTGAAAAATAATGCTTATCAATTGAAACTCAGTTTTGAGGGGAGGTTATGATTTTTTTGTTCTGTGGCCTTTCAGCGCCTCTCTGTACTTCCCAGGTTTCCTCCCCACGGGACTGGGTGGGTGGCACAGTGTCCCAGATGTGGGGTGGCTTTGCCCGTGTGCCAACTGGTCAGCAGGGCCACCAGCACATGTGGACAGACATCTAGCTGCCACCTCCTAATGCCTCCCTTTACCATGATTAGGCTTGATCTAGCCCTGGATTTACCACAAAATCCATAGGAAACTAATATTCTAATTTATGCTAACTAGGCTTTGACAAAATCCAACCAGAGGTCTAAAAGCTGGGGGAGGGGGAAAGGGAAAGAAAGGGAATGGAAAACATGGAAATATGTACACTTTCTTAAGAAACCAGGCTAAATTATGTTTGATTCCTTTAACAGCTTTCTTTTCTACAGTTAACTTTGTCATTATTGAGGACTACAGGCTGTGTGTAGAAGAAACTGGCTTCATGGTGGGTTTGACTGCCATTTTTCTTGGTAGGAACAATTTACTCTGTGGGAATTGGAGTTACAAATACAATCAATTAACAGCATAAGGAAGGAGTCTGCTGAAAACTGGCCTGTTCAAAATGATTTTGAATTTTGCCAGAATACTTATTTTTTAATCTTCTGCCTTTTGTGCTAAAAATTCTTTGAGGTTTTGAACATACTCTCTCTTTTTTCCTTTTGCAGGGAAAACCTCTACAGCAGCACCCTTGGGGGAGGCGTGGCAACCTCTCCAATGCTGATAGTATTTCATGGAAAGTATTCCTCTATTAATCCTATGTGGCACATAAGGCATCTTGGTAAGTTTAACTTCTCACTGTTTCCAAGTTGGAACTAAAGTGAGTGGTTTGTAAGATCCCAGTGCAGGACCTTACATTACTTTACCTCAGGCATTGCTTTTTGCCTCAGGTCCACAGCACATAATCCTCACTTCCCTCAAGGCTCATGAGTCCTGCTTTCTTCAGGGCAGGGCAGAACGTGGGAGTTGGATGCAAGTATCCCAATAGGTCAAACAAACAACATATTTGCATCCCTGCAAAAAACCCAAACACCTAATAGTTATGAAATTGGATGAAAAAAGGAAAAAGACCCAAATACCAAGGGCAAAGTTACATGTTTAAAGACCAGCTAACCTATACTGCCATCAGCTATGAAAGAATATGTGAAAGATCTGCATATAGTCAGACTGAAAAAAATCAGTTTTTTCTAGGTGCAGGTGGAAGAATATGGGAGGCTGGGCAGCATGTGTTGTCAGCATTCTGGAGGATGCAGTTACCTTTCACCTGGGAGTGAATTATCCTAGGAAAAACATGTCTTAGCTGGTATGGTAAAATGAATAGATTTTATTTTGCTTTTAATCCCAGCTATGCCAGGATGATAAAAGCGTTGAGAGAAGAAACTTGCTGAAATTTTTTTGCTGATGCAGCATTAAAGGCATCAAGCTAAAAAAAAGCTACTCTGTCATACAGCTATTTGATGAAACCATACTAATAAGACTTCTGAAAAAAAAAATCACTTGAATTTAACTCTATAGTGGTTTTTTTTTTTTTTTAATCTACCCATGCAGGTTGGAGTCCTGATGCCCGTTACTCAGAGCAATTTCTTCAAGAAGCTAAATTACTTCACTGGAATGGGAGATACAAACCTTGGGACTATCCCAGTGTCCACACTGATCTGTGGGAAAACTGGTTTATCCCTGACCCTTCAGGGAAGTTCAAATTAACTCGTCCTGATAGCTGATACTGATACAACTTAAATACTGCCAAACATAGTGTATTGGATGCATGTAATAGTTTGAGACGCAGCATACGAGGAATATGATTAACTGATTCTAGAAAATGAAGTATTTGTTAAATATATGAATAACTGACCATCACTTTTGTGTGCTTAGGGCTTGAGAGGGAGGCTGGAGTGACCATTACACGGTTCAGATTATCCTGACTTTCATGTAAGGTGAGGAACTAGGTTTACTTGACAGTGAAGTATTTTCATTATACATTTACAGAGATAAAACTCGGTGCCAGACAGTGTACTTTAATTTAAGGTCTTTATAAATAAGACTCCAATGTCTTCTGGTAGAAAGACCTACCCAGCAGATACCTGCAGTATTACACACAAGGTGTCTTTAGTTGTCTGGCCCACATTGAAGAGCATGAAGTGAGATCTTAGGCATATGTTACTGAGTTGTGTTGAGTGGTGACTCTGTTTTGAGGCGTTTCTGCGTATGACACATCCTGTAGTGCACTTAGACCTTTGCTAGCAACATGTGAAAGCACATTCCAAGACACTGCAGTACAATTCCTGATTTTATTGTGAAACATGGATAGATTTAAGACAGATTAAGAACTTCTGTATTACTGTAACAAAAAGAGCACCAGTTCTGAGGGAGGACACATAGAATTGCAGTATTTAGTGAAACGGTCATTGTAGACTTAACTGTATTTTGTACCCAGTGACTCCTTTAAAGAAGACACCTTTCCCTTCCACTCAAAGAGGATAGCCTTTCAGGAGTTAAATCCTACCGTGCTACATACTCAGCAGTGCTAATTCCATGCTTCCAATTTTGTTGAAAATAAAATAATTGAATTGTAACAAATCCCTGATGCAAGATACTTTGAGCACCTGCAGGAAAACACCCATGTAAACAGCAATACATGATACAGTACACTTTAAATAACAGACAAGTCCTATACCTTTCTGACAATATACAGAATAGCTTTATGCTGAAGCTAATAAACACAATCAGAATCATAATGCACACTTTCTTGATTTAAGACGCTCAGAATTAAGCCACATAATTTGGGAGAAAACTGTAAACATCATGCCTGCCTCATAACAGGTTGAGAGTGTGCAATCTCTGGGAGAGCTGTTATAGCAAGATTAGAACCTACACTAACTAGTTACACACTACTGCCAACCATTGCTGGCTGTGAAGAAAGGATAAATTACGCCATACAGGACTCTCTGGCCCGCACGGAGTGTGGAGATACTGTTTGTATCTGTTTTTCAAGTATGTGAAGCACCAACTATCATAAGATCATCAAAACTGTAGTGTTTTGATCAGCTTATTGCTTTTACTTCATCTCTTCCTCACATGATAAAGGAGGGAAAGAAGACGATGGTTAAGCACCAGGATGGAATCTCGTTTCTTTCTCATTAACTAATATTGGTCAAAAATGTATATCATTTAGGCAAGTTCCTTAGAAGGGAGCTGTAGTTTCTACAGCCAACTTCTTATTCATGGAACAGCTGCTCCTATATTTAACTCAGTATTTTTTGCTTGTAAGAGGAATAAGAAGACCACCCTCTACAGACTGAAGAGAATGGAATGTTAAAACCTGCTAAACTGCAAACTCTTTTCACCCTGTGCTAATTGTACATGATGTAAACGATGTAGCTGTACGTGATTTTTACAGAGAACGCAGCCTTTCAATTCCCTGACATGTAATCTGTTCGAAGGGGTTGTCTACTGCTGAAGGTCATGTGAAGAGACTAATCACACAGTAATGACAGTGGTTTGAATGCTACAGAATTGAAGAACCACCACTGTTGTTTGTTTTGGGGCTTTTTTCAAGGAGTTCCAGTTCCTTACATTGTACTTTCAGAGGGAAAGAGTTGAAGTGGTAGGGATATCTTACCGTAAGCCAGCTCAGCTAGAATATTTAGGCCCTGTCCTGTGTGACACAAATTTTCCTCCCAGTGTTGTGACTTGAGAGGATGTCTTCACTCCCTTAATCCTGAATATGGTCCACTCACCAAACAGACAGAGCTCTCTCTTCCCACCCAGAAGATACTCAGTACTCACAGCTGTAGAGTGCAACTTTCTGCACTTTTTAAGAAGGTAAAAGGCAGACTTAAAAAGCACAATTTCCTTAACTGTGCATGATTAAAAATATCGCTTCACATAAGTTAAGGGTACACTTCCCATTTTCCCCTCTGGATATAAAAGGATTGTGAGATATCCAAATATTGAGGCATCAGTAGGAAGTATACTGCTGCTGTTACTACTACATTACAATTCATGAAATAAAATTAACGCCCAAAAGAAATCTTCACAAATGAGAAAGCAATTTGTCAAAAACTGCAAGAAATGGCATACATTAAATATAAAACTCATATACAAAAAAGGGCTAACTTTTTTAAAAAAAGTTTGAACAGTTCCTTAAAATCATCTAGTTCATCGATTTCAGCCTACCACACACTTACTTTGGACTATAATAAAATAACTAGGGGAGATAAAATACTATTAAAATGCTTCAGTTGGAGAACCGAGGTACCAATCTTGGTCACTGCATTAAAACTGCAGCATGGATGCATAGCTGAGAAGGAACAGCCCCTACACGCTGCTTCCCTCCTCTTCCTGTGTCACACCGGCATTGAACTCTGGTATCTGGTCTGCAAAGGACTGTGTCATCCACTGTCCATTAGGAACCATACCGAAGGAGGACCCCTCGCAGTACTGTGGATTGCTTCCCCCTGAAACAAAACAAAAATCCCACTGTTTACAACATGCAGCTGACACCCCTGAGTCCTTGTTCCCAAGCAGTGGGAACATACAGCCTGAATGCCCAGAGTGCTGCACTTTACCCGTTCCGTTGGAAGAGAAGCTGCACTGCTCGCTGTCATACGGTGCACGATCACAGTAAGCTCCTCCATATGCTGCTTCGTAGCCTGGGTCGTATTTTTCTTCTTTGACAGCCATCTTTTTAGCATCCTCTGCAGAAACAGAACACCTCAAGTGTTAATATTTAGAACAAATACTATCAAAGAGCACTTTGATCAGAAAACACTTGAAAAACAGCCACAAATTCTACAAGATAATCCCCTGCTCCCCTTATAGAATTTAGGCTGTACTATAAAGAGAGTGAAATCTGTAATTCTACACAACACAGTTTAGAAAAGATGACACATCTGCCTCCCTTCCCCCCATCCCCCATTAAATTCTTTATTTCTTTCTTGCTTGGGAAACTTCTAGTTGTCTTGTACACTACACTGCATTTTAATAAAGGGTTAACAAAATAAGCACTGTACCTTGTGCAAGTTGCAAGTCGAATGTATACTGCACCTCCTGCACGTCTGTGTTTGGTGTGATGCCTTTCAGTTGGTCCCTTAAGTCTTTCAGCTTTATGTAATAATGAACTTTATCTTGTGCCCGGGGAAACTGAGCACATCTTGCACTGGATGATGGCATAACGTAGCAGAGCTTGAGACAAAGAGCAAGAAAAGCAGCATTATTGAGCTATGAGTTAATATTTAGTGCGTTGAGAACAACTTAACAGTTAAGCCCACTGCTTTAACCCTTTGTACAAACTTCAACTAATGCCAGAGGTGGTCGTGGAAAGGGCTAAAAGGAGTCTTTAATTTTTCTTGTCCAGCCAGCTGTCTTGCCCTGAAGAGAGGGGCCAATTATCAGCTGCCAAAGTGAGGACAATTTTCACCAGTTATTTATGTGCTGCAGGAGAAGCAGAACCAGTGTGTGGTACAAGAAATTTTCAGTGTGTGCCAGAGAGTGGAGCACACTGCAGAGCTCCCTGAGCAAGCAGAGCCCTGAGCCAGAGAGTCCCCAGAGGAGTAAGTGGCAGCATGCAAACAGCCCACACCAGTGAGGGAGGCACCACGGGTTAATTAGCTTGGCTTCTGGGCCAACAGCATCCACAGCACACATGCCAGGGTGTGAAACTGCAGTTAGTAAGGATGGTTGGAGCCAACTCAAGTGTCTCTGCCTCTGCCAACAGCCTTAACTAAAGACATCAAGTTAGTTGAGCAAAAACAAACTGTTCAATCCTTTTATCGCCATGCAGTATTTAAGAACAAGTACCAGTAAAGGGGATTATTTATCTTTCTTACAAATACATCTACTGCAGAAGTCTTTAAGAGCTACTTAAGAAAGCAAGCACTTTATCAACAACAGTTCTTCAGGCTCTAATGGCAACACTTCACCTTTAGAGAAAGACAGCTTAAACTTGCAGCACTAGTAATTCGGGACAGAAATAAGACGAAAAACAATCCCAACTTTTGAACTGACAAGGTAATGAAGCTTTAGAATAAGCTACCTTGGCAGGTAGTGTAATTGCCTTTGCCCTAACCTGTTTACAAGAACATGTTAAACAAACCTATTTCTGATGATACATAGCTGGTCTATTGAGATACTTTCCAGCACTAGATGTCTGTGACTAATGCACTCTTCATCAAACTGTTTGTTTTATCTTCAGCACCCAACTGAACTTCAAACTGCAAATTAGCCCAAGGAGGTCCAGACTGATGGCAGTGCTTGGGCATGCCCAGCTCCTGTAATGCTGTAGTGGTTGTGTGTAATAGCACAGTGATGGACTTGCTGTTCTTTCTGCCCCACAGTGGCATTACCACCACCATGGTCATGTTCAGTATTAAAGTTCAGTAATACAAATATCCAGCAAATTGGACACAGGGAATCAGATTAAAGTTATCACAAAAGCATGCATGTATTATCTGTACTTTAGACAGTTGTCAGAGAATGCACTAACCAACTAATCATAATACACCATTTCCCAAATAAAATCTGCAAGTCTGAAGAAGCTGCATGAAAGATGTGTCCGAAAATTGCACTATCCCCCTTTCTCTATTTAGGTAAAAGCCTTTCACATCTCTTGTACTTTGGTCATTATCAGAATGTACTTGGTTCATTGTCAGAAGTGTATGCAAGTCCTGAGATTTTGTTACTTTTTAAATGGAGTGCCCTGTTTTTTTTTCTTAGTCTCAATACTCACAGTTTCTGTATCTGGCACTTTGTGTGGCTGCAGTCCAAATTCCAAGTTCTTAACTTTAATTCCAAAAACTTCTCTACTAAAAATTTCATAAATACCTAAAATAAAAAAAAAAAGATAGGATAAGTGTGAAGAAAAAAAAAAGCTATTGACAGAAAAAATTAATTTAGAAGTCAAGGTTCTCACATTTTCCATTGAAAACTGCTATACGAGGTTTATACTTTTGTAGCTTCTGCATCAGAATTCGCCCTCCTTCCCGAATCTCTTTGCTGAAAGAGAAGGTACTCAAAATTATAATCACAACTATTAATTCCTTAACAAGCATGATATATTCCCCCTTGCTGCCCTACCTAGAAAGGTCTTTGCTTCCAGGTGTTGTCCTTTCAACCATGTTCGTAAATCCAATCCCATATTTATGTGGCAAAGTGTGGTCATCCATATGGTTCAGTTGTTCATTACTTAGACCAGACATGAACAGACACTTCCCTGTGGAGTAAGAAGGTAGATACTGTGACAAATAGAAACCCAATCGGGCAATTTCCAATCAGAATTTATTATATGATAAAAGCAAATTCAGCGCTGGGTGATCAGGTAGGGGTCCAACAACTCCCAACACCTGTCACACCCAAAGAAGACAGTTGTTCCACATTTATTTCCAGCTACTACATGAATATTCATTATACATAAGTATAAACATTACACATTGTTAGGCACATGAGTATAAACATGTTAGATACATAAGTATAAACATTACACATTGTTAGGTCATACATTCAACAGATGTTTGCTTGTTATCTATGCAAAGTTATAAATTTTAAGAAAGGTGCTATTATCTAGCTAACTAAACAAAATTCTCTCACTATAAATCCTACACAGGGTAAAAGGGAGGTAACTTGTCTTTTTTCTTTTCATAGGGGCCCAATTAAGTTTTACAATTTGTTTTTCTTTTCTCTCTCCAGGTCATATTGACCTTACACTGTTTTCTCTTAATTAGCTCGAATCATTCTCTCAGTTTATCACAATACATATTTGCCTATTTCTATGGAAAAGAAAGCACAATGGAAAAAACTCAACTGTCAGAATACTGGAATGCTAAAGAAAGAATCTATTTTAACAAAGCATCAGTTAATTTGGGAAGATTATTGCCCTATCTAGAAAAGTTTAAAATAACGATTATTACTTTATCTACTGCAACAGAACACAAAAGCCCTAGTGAACAGGAATTCCTCATCATGATCCTGTGTATGGAAACCAGTCTTTTATCCTAAAAGTTCAGTACAGAGCTTTAGATTTTGTGACTCACTTAAGCAGGGAGCGAATGTGATCAATATGGATTCCGTGGGAAAGAATGTGGCAAATACAATGTGTCAGCTTTCTTTTACAAGCTTGCCGTTGCTCCTCCTTGCCCTGAGCCTCTGGGACAGAACTGCTGACATCTCACATTCATATTTAGCACACAAAAGTAGAGTTTGGGCGATGTGCAGTGCCAGCACAAACCCACGCCAGGTAGCTCCCAATGATTTGGGAAGGTTACAAACACCTGGATTTGCCAGAGCACACATAGCTGGCCTGCTTCTCAGTAAAGGAGGTGATCAGTCTGACCAGGCTGCAGAACACTAGAGAAATACCCAAGCCTGGTTTTGGGTCTGCTGGGCACCAGGAATGTTTTGACTGGAATATCACAGGGCTGCAATTAGCCCACGTGGAGCTCCCTCCCACCACCACGGTTCCTATAAGCAGAACTGAGCATTTCAGAGTTCAGGTAGGATCTTTTTTTATGAGAACATGATGCAGCAAATGCTATACTGAAAATGGAAAAATATTTAGGACAAAACATCTGTCTGGAGAATCAGGTACATGCCAGATGCACATGTCTGCTGGGAAATGGCAACTGGCTTTGCTTTTTCATCACTTAGAAAGCTTCTAAAGAAGAGATGGATGAATAAATGCAAACAGAAGAGGGCTTGGTGAAACACATTTTTTTGGATGAAGCTTGTAGTTTTATTTTACATCAGAAATCGATGCTTATTGACTCACCCTTGATAAATGAAGTACTAGAGATTTAATTTTTATTCCTTAAGCTGCACACTAATACAACAATAAGGTATTTGGTAACGGTGTGTTTGCCTGACAATTCTAAACCTGCATCTGAAGTCGCTGATTATTTCTCTTTTATTCCTTTTTATGTACAGTATTTGACAGAAGTACTTATGGGATTTAAATCACTCTTGGATGGTTAAAAGTAAAATCCCTCTCTGCATCCAAAACAAAAGAAAATCAGGAGAAAAACAAAACCCAAACCAGTTTAATTAAAATACCACAAATTCTAACAAAGTTCTGCAAATTCTAAAAGAGGAAAGGAAAATGAAAACGTACAAAAATGGTTTCCAGGTCCCGGGTAATGATGTCCTTTGTAAGCTGCCATCAGGCCAGGGTTTATGCCAATCTAGAAAGATATCAGTCCATTTGAACAATGAGAACATGGCTTGTAGTCAGCAATTTAATCAAGTTACAGCAAGGATGTTTGATTCAATTCTCTCTAAGTTACTGTCAACAAACAAAACTGTGTTAATGGCACCTTCCATCATTATTTTAAAAAACTGACAGTTTTACAGCAGTGCCTCATTTAGCTGTGCAATGCCAAAAGGGCAGCTCACAGTGTGCAGAGCTTCCAGTAAACAAAGCATCGAGTAACGGTCTCTCATGACACTGTATCATACCTAAACCTTAGATTTCTCAGAAATTAGGACTACGCTACTATGGCTTTTAACAGAAAAGGCAAAGCAGCTCTACACACAGGAAACAGTTTATATACTTTATCTTGCAAGATCTTGCCATATAAGCAATATAGATAAGTCAGCAGAAGGAATGTAAATCATAACGAGTACAGGACTTTTCTACCTAATCTGGTAACTCTGAGTTACTTACTATTACAATGTCCAGATCAAAGGTCAAAATATCAGGCAAGGTCTTGGTCAGAAGTTCAGCTTCAGATACACCATTAAAACGATCCACTTTCCTTTTGACTTTAAAAGTATCTGTGATCTTTTCTTGTTTGCCTTTTGACTTGGCTGTTTTTTCTTTTTTAGCAGCAGGCTTTTTGGGTTGCTTTGGCTCAGTTGCTTTGGCTTTTCTTTTCCTTCCTCCTTTCTTAACTTCTGAAACACAAAGCAAACATTCCTTTTGTACATTTCTAATGTTGCAGTGTCAAAAAGACTCAGCTAAATGTATGGATACAAAAAGATAAGTTTACCTTCAAAATTCACTAATTTAAACAATTACCAGATGAATCTCAGTTTTGCAGGCTCAATACAGAGCTAGCTTAGGTGTCTCTGTACCACACACAAACACATCACTCTCAGACAACTACACTGACTTGGAATACAAATCAAGAGTAACCCCATGACTGGGTTATGTTGTTTACATGTTTTATGCCACAGTCCTTTGGAAACAGTTTCATTTCTTTTGGAGGATATGCCAGAGCATCAAAGCTTAGGTTCCAAAGAATGTCACAGGAAGTTCTAGTCACCTATCCACCCTTCAGCTTCTAAATATGAAAGTTGAATGTTACAGGTGACATAACATCTTAAAGAAACCAAACTGCACGTCTAAAGCAAAAGGGCTCAAGGATTACCCACAGTGTCAGGTATGAACTTGTCAGGAACACAAGCACAGAGGCTGAACGCTACATAAGCTATTCACACACTGCTGCACTCACATACCTTCACACACTGCTTCCAGAACAGACACTGTCCAGGGCAGCATTCAGCAAGGTAATGCAGCATCTCAATCTGAGTGACACCAAACATTCGTTTTTATTTACAAAATGCCAACATGAAGTAGTCACTGTTCACTCATCTGAAGCTTCTGGCTCTTAAAATTTAGAGATTCAAGCACCACAGGTACTCGCCATGACATGACCACCCAGAGAGTACTCTCTATCTCTATGTTCATTAATAATGTCAAGCTGTAGAACACAACTTGAAAAATATGAAAACATACCTAGCAGCAATCAGCTGCTAAATAGACAAAGTAATCTATTACTTTAAAACCGAGACTTCATCTTATTTTCAAACTTCATAGATGAAAATCTCCCTCAGATAAAAAATAACTATGGTAGATACCCAGAGACTGCCCTAAGTCTGTAAACTTTTTTGGAGCTGTTCTTGTAAGAAAGCTGTGTAAACAAAAGGGAAAACAAAAATAACGTGAAATTCCCACGGCATCACTGCAGCAACTGCTTAGGGAAGCTTTAAGTAACTACTCAAGCTCTAGTCTAGTTGCAATGTAGAGAACAGAAGGGTCTAGACTTGGTGAGCCACATAAACAGCTTTTTTCTACCCCTTGAAGAGTTAGAAGGTTTTTCATGTGACAGCATAATGCCACATAATGCTCCAACTCACAGTAGTCAGAGTATTTTAAATGAAGCAGGATAATGTTTTTCTAACTCTCACACTTGATCAGGTACCTACCAACCAGACACTGTCATGGAAGATGAACAATGCCAGGGCAGCCTTTCAGAGGATAATCCTAGAAATCTTACTATTTTCACCACAGCAGTAGCTGGACTCCAAATCTTTGTCTTTCATATATGTTCCTGTAAATTTCACAGACATTTGATAAATATTCCATCCCCACCTTTGAAGGCCCTACTCAACTTACAGTTCTTGCAAAAAACAACACTAGGGAACAGCTTCCTAACAGACGATCACGGTTGTCCAAAAATACTTGCAAGTGCAGTCAAACAGGGTGCTCACGGTGACACTACGTTATCCAATACTAAAACTGCAAAAGAAGACTCACTACACAGCACCTGAGATGCAGTCTAACTGAAATGAATAATACTGTGACAGAATTGAGCAGTCACAACTATTTTAAACTGGAGGTTTTCCTCCTACGATTTTATCTGGCCACGCATTACAACTTTAACAAAAAAAAATGGTTATCAAGCAATGTCATTGCATGAACTGGCTGATAAGTCTCCTTGGTACACAGAGCTCTGAGCTGTATCTGAATATTAAAGTAAGGTGAAACTCTGTGTGTGAGTATTGGCTGCTGAATCAGAATTTAGGCATAGCAGAGGTCACTGCTTTTTTATGTCCTAAGAGTGAGCACGGTAACAGAACAATAGATGTCCCCTTGGCACAGCTACTGCAAGGACTGAGTGTACAAAATCCTAAGGGGGGAAAAGAAAGGCAACATGCAAGTACAGAGAGTACAAAACTTGTGTCATGCACAGGACACTTTCCAGCACTGTTTGCATTTTGTTTAAATGAGCTGCACTAAACCAAGTGATTCTTAGTCCATACAACCAATTCCCTACCTATGACCACTACAACACTAAGGAACCATTTAAACAAAACATTTCAAATAAACAGTATTATATTGTACTTCTCCTGCAGAAATTAAAAAAAAAATTTTTTTGAACTCAGAATTTTTAAAACACACCTTCTCTAACATAATATTAAAACCAATGACATTAGCTAAAAATTATGCATTTATCTATTTAAACAAAATTTTGCTTTTCCTGGAACAAGATAATTGTGTGAGACTGAACAACCTGAATACATTCACCTGGGTTTACTTCTTGTCTTTTTAATTATCTGTTAAAACACGTTACTTGAAGAATACAGTTAATCAATACTTCCTCAGACAGCACCAAGAAAAGGAAATCCAACATGTCCAAAGAAGCAGTTTAAGAGCAATATTTTTTTCCCCAATCAATTACTGCTGTTTTAGCTCTCTTAGCACAGCCCAGTCAATTTACCTTTCGGAGGCTCCTGAGCAATGTTTGGCTCTGGAATGCCCTCTAGAGTCGGCTGCTCAGCCATCGTTTCCATGTTGGGCACTGCAGTCATCATCTGATGGAATGGAAACGAGTAAAATGCTTGAGCTTGCTGAAGATATGCGTAGTATCTTAGGAGGGAGAGGAAAGAGACATAATTTGTCAACAACTTAGAAACTTGGTGATGTACCGTACAGACCGTAAAAATCAAACTTTATCAAGGCTGGCATGTATCACACTTATATTCTCCAACCACTCTATTAACAAGGGAGTAAATTATCCAAATCCGTGAAGCAGTCTGGCTGCTGAGTTGGTATCAGTTAACAGTACAGATCTTGTGATCACTATAATGTGGAATTAACACAACACTGGTAAGTGAAGTGTAGAGCTTTACCCTTTTTTTCAGGAAAAAACACTCTGTAGCACACACTTCCAAAGCAAACTATCAAACACACTGGCAATTTACAACACAGGTGAGTTAAAACTCTTTGGACTTCAAGTTTCCCAAATTTTAAATTTTTTTTAATGTTGCATCATTTACTTGATCTGGTAAGATCCAGAATGGATGAATCATTCTGGGCTATAAGGCATGAAGAACACACACAGCCTTTGTTACTATGCAGATCATTAAACAGCTTTAACAAATTGTGTGGCAGATGTTGTCCAGTTATCACACACTGGATCCCAACTCAAAATACTGCACTTATTCTACATGGAAGTGTTCACATACACAAAAACTCAATTTCCTTCCATGCATAAAGATAGTTTTCCATATACAACTTTCTTCCTCCACACATTTATTAGTCACATACAGCCCTCACACCCCAACGCAAAATTCTGCTTTATACTGTCACTCCTTTCTACCTACACAGCCATTTTCTTGGCCACAGATTCTGCTGCTATAAAAATACATAGAAAGGATTTTGTGAACAGTAAATTTTCAAGAAATAATTGTATCATCTCAAAGCTATTAACAAAAACACCAAATAATTTTTAGACATAGACATATTTGTCCAAGAAAGCCAATGGCATCCTGGCCTGTATCAGAAATGGTGTGGCCAGCAGGACCAGGGCAGTGATCAACCCCCTGTACTCAGCACTGGTGAGGCCACACTTCAAATCCTGTGTTCATTTTTGGGCCCCTCACTACAAGAAGGACTCTGAGGTGCTGGAGCTTGTCCAGAGAAGGGTAACAGACCTGGGGAAGGTCTAGAGCCCAAGTCCTATGAGGAGCAGCTGAGGGAGCTGGAGTTGTTTAGCCTGGAGAAAAGGATGCTCAGGGGGAACCTTATACTCTCTTCAGCTATGTGAAAGGAGGTTGTAGCCAGGTGGGGGTCAGTCTCAAGTAACAAGCAACAGGACAAGGGGAAATGGCCTCAAGTCGTACCAGGGGAGGCTTAGACTGGATATTAGGATAAATTTCTTCATGGAAAGGGTTGTTAAGCATTGGAACAGGCTGCCCAGGGAACTGGTTGAGTCACCACCACTGGAAGTATTTAAAAGCTGTGTAGATGTGGCACTTATGGACATAGTTTAGTGGTGGGCTTGGGAGTGCTGGGTTAATGGATGGACTCAATGATCTTAGAGGTCTTATCCAACATAAATGATTCTGTAATTCTAAATATCTCAAAAGAAGGGGCCATTCACTACTACACAATGAATTTTTAAGAATCCCACTGTAAATCAGATTTATAACAGAACAGCCCACACTCTTATGATCAAGCCACTGATTTTGAACCAAATACCTGTCCTGAATCAAGGAGAATAAATATGAACGTAGGTCTGTCAGATTCCCGAGGAAGTTGCCTAATAAAGTCATGGGAGATTTTCAGAGTACTGTGAATACTTTAACCCCTCTGCTGGAAGAGTTCCATTTTATATAAAATACTTGTGCAGCTACCGAACCAAACCAAACTGATCTTCAGATTTGTGTTGGGAAACACAACTGAGACGTGCAGAATCCAGTTCATAAAGTAATAAAAGCTTAATCATGCAGAGCAGAACAGAGTGAGTAACAAAGATGTGAAACCAAGGCCAGATGCCTTCTTGTAATACAGGCCTTATTTTATGTGTATATAAAGTATCCTTCTTGTAAAGGGAATAAAATTTCCTTTCAATAGAGAGAAAATTCATGCCATGTCACAAACAAGTCCTCTAACCAATTGCAAATGAGAGGAAAGAGAACTTTTACGCCTATCTCTAAGTTTCCTACATATTTTAGGCCACATTTCTTGCGCGTGGGTTCAGAAATACAATTCTTTGTTACTGATGTACAACAAACATAACAAAATGTCATGGGACATTTGAATAAATATTTCCAGTTCCACGAGGAAAAGGCAGTGATTTATTCCCCCTCGCCCTACGTCCCCCCCCCCCCCCCCGCCTTCAGTTCATGCTAAAAATGAAAGAAAAATTAAAAGAAGGGTAGAGAAGATTTGTTCACAAAACAAGTATTAAATAATACTCGGAACAAACCCAAGTATTAAACGATTTTCAGCTCCCCCTCCGGACGCAGCCACGACCGCGGCCCAGCGCCCCGTTCCCCCCTCCCGGGGCCCGGCCCCTCCGAGCCCCGCTCTGCGCTCCCCTTTGTGCCGAGGAAGGGGCGGGAGGCTCCGCCACAGCCCGGCCGCGGGACGTTGGGCGAGCAGGAGGAGCAGGACCACGGCGGCCCCCCCCCCCGCGAGGCCCGAGCGCGGCCGCGGGCGGGCGGCGGTACCTGCCCAGCTCCTGGGGCTCCATGGCGGGCGGGCCCGTCCTTGTCACCGCCGCCGCCGCCGCCACTGTCGCCGCTCGCCCCCCGCCCCCTCCCCCCGCTCGGCGCCCCGACCGACCTGCCGGGCGGCCCCGCGCCACGTGACCCGCGCCGGCCAATGGGCGCGGAGGGCGGGGCCGGGCGGGTGTGCGGGTATCTGTGTGCGTGTGTCTGTGTGTGATCCCCCCGTGCCCCGGGGGGTTCTGTCGCGACTTACCGCGCTCTGCCGCGATACTCCTGCGCCAGGGGCGGGCCTCCACTCCCTCTTCCCTTTTCCTTTTTCCCTGCCCCGCTGCCGGCGGCGGCGGGGATGACGCACGTCCGGTGCGGTCGGTGTGTGCGGAGTTCCCGGCCCGGCCATGCCCGCCGGCGTGCCCTGGCCCACGTACCTGCGGGCGCTGGCCGCCAGCATGCTGGCCATGTTCGCGGGGGCCGAGGTCGTGCACAGGTACTACCGGCCGGACCTTGTAAGTGCTCGCAGGGGCCCGGTCGGTGGTGGCGTGTGTGCGGGATGGAGGCTTTGCCCCCGGGAGGCGTCCGGCCTGGCTGTGCACAGAGATCGGCCTCTGCCCGGGCACCGTCCGGGCAGCCGGGACCGTGCTCTGCCCCGGTCTGGGCTCCTCAGGACAAGAAAGACAGGGAGCTACTGGAGAGGGTCCAGTGGAGGCTACAAAGATCATTAAGGGCCTGGAGCATCTCTCTTATAAGGAGAGACTGTGGGAGCTGGGCCTGTTTAGTGTAGAGAAGAGAGTGTGGATGAGAGGGGCTCTCATCACCGCATATATAAATATCTCAAAGGCGGGTGCCAAGGGGATGGTGCCAGACTCTTTTCGATGGTGCCGAACGACCAGCAATGGCCATAAACTAAAGCACAAGAAGTTTCCCTTTAACATGAGGAAGAACTTCATGTTGAGGCTGGCAGAGCACTGGAACAGACTGCCCAAGGAGGTCACGGGAGTCTCCCTCTCTGGAGACATTCCAAACCCACCTGGATGCATTCCTGTGTCACCTGCTCCAGGTGACCCTGCCTTGGCAGGGGGGGCTGGACTGGATGATCTCTGGATGGTCCCTTCCAAACCTAATGATTCTGGGATTCTGTGACTTCTCTGGGGAGCCACCTCCACTCTATTGATGTGGTACCAAAAATAAAAGCTATGTAACCCCCTTCAAAAGGGGTCTCTGCTGTAGGAAGCTGGGTTTTGAAAAGAGAGTTCAAAAGTGGTGAGAAGGGGCTGTGCTAGATTTAAATAGACTTTGTTTCGAAGACAATCAAAAGTTGACTTTAGAAATGACAACAGGCAAGGCTGTCAAAACTACTGTCACAGAAATAAACCAAATGAAACCACCCACCAGGAATATTAATGGTTTAGTCTGTTGGAGGCCTGACTTGTACGTTTTCCCTCACCCTTCTGCTCTTGATTTTTGTAATTCACTGTGCTATTTTCAAATGGAAAATAAGTTTAAAAAAATTACCATGCTTGAGCTGTCACATCAAAATTTAAGCAATGAGGCTTAAATCATTGATAGATGCATTAGAATTTATGTATTTTAGTAGTCTCTACTGTCACCTTCATTTATTCAGAATGATCAAATGATCTATATCCCTAAAGTAGGATGAATTTTGAGGAGGTATCTCGTTTTTGAAATGTCATGTCATCTGGTACCTTTTTATTTTTAAATTTCATCTTTGACTTCAATGCTTAATTTCTAAATCAGGAAGGTAGAGGCAGTGAGACATTTTCTTCTGTCACCAAGAGAAAGAGTAGATGTGGAAACTTCAACTGTTTTAGACATCTCTAACAAGCTTACTTTCTTTAATGGCAAAAAAGCAGCTTTGTTCATTTAAATGAAACTGTTAATTCTTTATTTTACCTTATTTTTTTGTTTTCCCAATTATATTTTGCTATTTTAAAATAAAAGTCAAATTACAAAAAGGTAATAATTTTCAAGATGTTTTGCATATAGTAATTATACTCTGCTCAAAGAAGAGGGCAGTATAATCACAGTTTAGCTATAATGCTCTTACAGAGTGTGATCCTTTACTGTTTTGTGAGTTTAGTGTTCCTTCTGCCACAACACTGATGTCTTTCTCTGTTTTTAATAGAGCATACCTGAAATACCTCCTAAGCCTGGAGAACTGAGAACAGAACTGTTGGGTCTAAAAGAAAGATCAAGCAAAGTTCAGACTTCACAGCAGTGACCAGAAGTTACTTCCGTTGTGAAAACTAGGACTGATAAAATATTTATTCAACTGTTTAAGTTGCAGAAATAAGTATGTGAAATACTGTACTGCCTTAATGCATTTTTGCTTTCCTTTAAGCAGAGTTTCAGGCAGCATTTAAAATAAACGTACAATGAGTATTGTTGTTAAAAGTCCAGTTGGTTGTGTGCCAAAATAGTTGTGACTTCTTAAATCTGGAGTGCAGTGTAACTATCCTTCAGAATAAAGGGTTAAACCATGACAAAGATGTATCACTGACAGGAAACCTACTTTGGTCCACTGTAAGGCTGGGATCTTACAGCTTGGTCAGTGTAGTTAAAATGGGGCAATTCAGATTACACTGAAATTACGTACATTTGTACTCCATTTGGGCACCTTCATCTGTTTATGGCTGCCTTTGATAGCTGTAAATATACAAAACTCTGAAATAACAGGTGTAGGTTTACCTTTCAGTCCTGAAATAGGATCACCACAAAACTTGCACCAGGAACTGGAAGGAACAGAGTCAAGATCCTGTAGAGGTGGCACAACAACCCATTTTTGAGTGGTACACAATAGAGCTTGTGAAGGTTGGTGATTGTTTTCCCTTGAGAAAGATACCAAGATAAGGCACAGGCTTCATCCTCAGTTCTCACTTGGGTTTAACTCAGGGGGGTAAAAACCACAGTCTGATAGATTACACATTAAGGAAACAGAAAAGCTCCCTAATTGCTCCTGACAGAGTACTTGGATGTCTTGTAATAGCAGAGGGATCCAGAAATGATCAGTGAGTGCTACTTTTACATCTGTTCCAGCTGTGAAGCTTTTATTTATGTCTGCATAAGTTGGAGCGGTTTCCGTAGGAAGAAAGGTTGTAATTCTCCTGCATGCGTATGTGCCTCTGCTCTCCCACAGTTTTACAACTGTTGGTGGGATAAGATCCTCTCCTGCTCTTATGTGCTGTTCAGGATGCAGCCTGCACTGAGCACAAGTACGTCACAGGCTCTCTCTCTCAGGCTCCTTTATCAGTGACAGCAGGCGTTGATAGAAAGGCTGCAGTAAAACACGTTAAATCCAAATGAAATCAATCAGTGAGACCATCTTAGTAAGTCCAGTTCTGGTGAAAATACTTTTCCCCTTACTGCACCTAACAAAGCTGAGATTACCAACCTTCCACCTCAGCGTAAGAGAAAGTTTGTTGAAGAGACAAGATGGGGCAGTTCAGCAGTATTTTGTTCCTGTTTTAACTGGGGCAGGAACAGCAGTTTTTCAATGATCCATTTACAGAGCCAGGATTCACCAACCCCTTACCCTGTTACTCACACTTTGTCAGAGTAGCACCTCTGTTATGTTGTTGATTTCTGACATGAAAAATGCATTTCTCCCCCTTTTCTAAAGGTTTTTAAGATCTAAAGGCTGCAGAGGGAAGTTTCTAGCAATTAGGCTTGGATTTCTAGGTGTATCCTGTTGCTGCTGGAAACTGAGGAACAGGGAGCTCAGCCTTTTCTAGCACTGAGGGAACTGTCCTCATTAGTGCCCATCTAGGAACAGCAAAGCTGACAACACACCGGGTTTTAACAGAAATGACACCCCCAGAGTCAGCATAACTGCAGCACCAAAAGAAAGCCTGATGGGAGACACTTTCCTCCAGCATTGACACCATTTTGTCTCAGAGCTGACAAATAAGTAGGCTTACAAGTGCATTTTGTGCTTATTAATAGCAAACACTTGTCACTCCAGGGTCTAGAGAAAGCAGCTGAACCACAGCTGTGTTTGCACATGATACTCTCACCTGAAGTAGATGAAGAAGCACAAAGCATGACTCTCATGTGTGCTCTTTATTATTTCTGAAATTGAATTGTCATCCTGAAACCCATCAAGGCAACGAGAACTTTAGCTATACAACAGAGCAAAGCTTGCCTAAGTCCACAAGTAATTAACAGACTAAGAATACTGTAGCAAGCAACCCTACACTTCCAATATTCCACTTTGGTTTGTTGGCTGCAAAAGCACTCCCAACCATACAGGAGTGAGTTGCAGTTGCTGCTTGAGGTCAAACAGAGATATAAAGGTGGGGGTAGTAATGATATACTCAGAAAGGTATCACTGAAAATAAGTGATACCTTTGGAAGTATTAAAGCCTCAGCAGCAGTTGATTGCTATGCAGCACCAAGAAAAAAAAAAGTAAAAAAAAAAAAAAAAATAATAAAAAAAAAAATCACACAGCTACAGTAAGAATAACAAGCCTCCAGAACTGGTGCAGCTGCCCAGTCACTAACTTACTGCCAAAGGCTGCTATTACAACTGACACTGCCAGGTGCTGAAGGACATGCTGGTGTCAGACCCCTCAGCATGTGCCAGTAACAGAAGGCTCTTCTCTAGGATACTACTACACTGAGCAGAAACCAGAACTCCAAACTCTCTCAAAAACACCCCAAACTAAGGTTTCATTCCTGAGGTCTCAGCATACTTCAATAAAACCATCTCTCTACAAACCCTAACACCATAACCACAGTGATACATGGCATATTTATTGCACGGAAATGGTAATCAGGCAATATAGAAGCCGAGTAAAAGTAAATGGAAAACAAGTTCTTCAGGTCAGTGTTTAGTGCTCTAACCTAATTAGAAAGTTTATTTTGCTTCAGATTGCAGAACCTTGTAACTTCACAGTTCTGTTAAGAAAACAGAAGTGAGGGGTTCTTAAGGAGAATCACTATGTAGAAGTACCACACCTATCTAGTTCTTCCACAGAGGAAGGTAAAAAAACAAATAAACAAAAAAGAAACCCTTCAGTGCAAAG